AGAGACGAGGAAGAACTGCAGTTTCAGTAGGTCGCGAGTAGACTCCGCGGTGACCGTGGTTGGCCATTTGTGTACTCGCCACAGGTGGCAAGTGAGGGCGTAGTCTTCGTGCGAAGAGGAAAGATGAAACTCGAAGTGGGTAAGGTTCTCACTAACAGCCTCGGACGAGCAGAATCCGACTCGTAGCCAACCAATAACGCGACCCTGTGTCAAAGAAGACAAAAGTTGGAATACTCGAAGCAGCAGACTGTATGGTAAGCTCTTTGGGGGAAAAACAACGCCGACTGGATGGCTTGTTGATGCTTTGACGCCACGTGGAGCATGTCAGTGGGGGCCGTAACTGTGAAGAGCAGTCAACCTGATGTGTTTTACTAAGAGGACCGTTCTCAGGTCCCAGTTTTCACTGGCCTCCTACGCGCACGGTTATATAAAGGCGTGCCTAGTTAGAGTGTGGTAGGGCCGCATTAGACATAATAACTTACCACCGGGTCGGCTAGTACGACTTTCACAAAATCAATTTGGACAAATGGTTTTAAACATTGTGTGAGGTACACCAGCGATAATCGTAGCTACGAATTAGGCCCAGCGGGCCGGCAGTTTCGACTTTTAGGACAATGCGATGATAAGATCGCCCAAACGCATTTGGATAAAGGACAGCACCAATGGTCCCGCCATCAGATTAGCAACGACATTTGACCTCCACCAGTTCTGAAGGCTTTTACACAAACTACTTCAAACGTTCAACAATGGCACCACTAGGGGGCTTGTGTTTTTGTAAATGTGTTGAGTTGTGATATCTACCAGAACTTGGCTCAGAAAACTCGAGACCAGCAAGTCTTCGAGTGAAGGGAAAAGGCACTAGGGTGATCGAGCATATTCTGCAAATACACATTTCCTTTTGCGAACCGTTAGACTTGCAGCTACAGTTTAATTAAACACAGTTGGCCACACGCTATGAGTGAACATTCCCCTAGTCAGGGTAAACAAAAAAACAACATGATGATGACAAGCTCTTGCCGCCAAACTGTCTGATGCATTTTGCCCAGAAACGCTAGAAATAAGGATTTCCTAAGCTGCGACTGTATGGAACTTGGTTGTGGACTAAGGACAAACAAACTTGGAGGCGAGGCGGTGTTTTCAGGATTCTAAAGACAGTACCTGATATTGTAGCAAGATTTGACGAAATGACAGCGTTTATTATGTTCTGCATACAAATTAAGCAATTGGTTGCCATGTTAGGGGTAGTCTGCGCGGTTTGATTGCATGTGCCAGGTAATTGCGTTTGCGGCTCAATTTAGAACTTCTGTGCGTAATAAGACGAATAGCGCTTTTATTTTATGATAATCACAATTTTCGGCTACAAATCTTCAAACATATCGTACCACGAGAGCTCAAAAAACACGCAAACGTGTCGTT